CAATTCTTGCCATTAGTTCTTCCAGGTCTGTGGCAGGCCTCTTGGTAAGAGATTGGTATAAAGGGTTCTCCATTAGCAACCCGATTTTGAAGGATGCTACTTTAATTTTGGGGTTACAAGCTTCTACTTCATTTATTCGTCTTCCAATAACGATGATTGTACTCTTGCGAAGTCTCATTACTTCGCTTCTTCAGAGTCAATAAAGCCCCAACATCCTTAGGTTATTTATTGCTTGTAATGAATCGAGCTATAAATTGTTCGGCCAATTGTGACCATCCTTCTATTGACCCCTTTAGGTAAGCTATCAAACTATTTCATGGCCCATTCCCCAAGGTCGCTAGAGAAGATGGTGCAGAGCAGTGGCTCATTTCTCCGATGAATGGTCATCAACTGCCTGTAATGTCTAATGTGGGAGGCTAGGTCAGTCTTTCCATTATACAACTTGAAGTTCGGGATGGGAAATTTACTTGGGATTCGCCCCTTTTCGATCCATGGGGTGAAAAGAGATGACTCCGAATCGTCTCTGTATTCTCTAGTTGCTCTTCTAGCGAGGTCCTTAGCCGATTTCTGCTCTGGCCTCTTTAATCGGTTGTTAAGCTCTTCTGTAATGAACTTCTTCTAGGAATCTTCCTCCAACCCCTGAGGTCGTTTCTACTTGTACTTATCATCCTCAACATTTTCCCTTCTTTCCTGTCTTTTCTCGGGACTCACTCGTCAGCTTTCCCTGCTACGTTTCTCTTTCTTAGTCATCTCCTTCAACTTAACTTTCAATTCCTTGTTCTCTTTTATCATCCTTTTCCCTGGCGTAGAATTTCTTGAATAATTTGTCATGTGCATCAAGTTGGTCCTACAAGGATTTGACCAACTTTGCCAAGGAATGGTTCTCCCCCTTGGCATGGAAGGATCCACCACAATCTTCCCCTTGTTGGTTCTAGTTCCTGGGTGGTTTGAAACTTGCTAAGGATACCTCATTATCCTCACGGGGTCTAGACGGGCTTTTGTCCACATGCAATCTAACGTTGCTATCAGATGGAAGTGACACTATGTGGTCTAGATCGGAATTCCCCAAGGCAAAACTGCCTAGAGGTGATCCAATGGCACTTCTAAGTTTCAACATCGTGGCTTTTTGTTTCGATTGATGAAAATCTTCCCACAAACGGTGCTAAAAAATGTAGGAGGCATAAAGTAAGATTACCTCCCATTGGAATATGATTTAATATTTTTGGTAAAGAGCATTTCTGAACTTGTTCTCCCAGTCATTTCTTCCTACAATACGAGTAAACTGCTCAAGATCGAAGTACTTCGATCAAAGGTACTCCGATACTAAAGTCAGTAATGGAACTGATTGAATTGCAAATAGACAATGAGAGTTCAGGAGAGTTCAGCATACCGTTCATCTTGGCTTCTTGTGCTTTTTATAGATCCATGTTCAGTTAGGGTTTCCATAATTTTCGATTCAAGGTGGCATACATTCCTTCAATTAGGTGACTCTGTTTGGGAAATTGCTAAAATTTCTGTAGCAATTCCCTTGGCCTGGCCTATAATTAAGCCCATTATCTTATCCTAGATGCCTGAGTTATAGGCAAATCTCTTGCTCTTTGTTTGACTGTTTGAAACAGCTCGGTTGCAAATGAGGACCGACCTCTTTCCTTTCTCATCGAACTTATCAAACAGATCGGCTTCGATCTATTGATTGAGTGACTGATGTCTTCATCACATGCATCGTTTTAGTCACTCACGTGAACTCATTTAATGTCATATCACGTGTAATAAAAGGAGCCACCCCCTTCACTATCTATGTCTGACATAACTTTCCATCATTCTCTTTCTCTCTCCATCGATTATTATCTCTTCTTCTATCTCAACTCTTCCAATTCTCTCTCATTGAAGTTAAGAATTATTTTTTGGGTAGGCATTGAACCTAATTCACCACAAGGACGTTATCATAATAAATCTCCTTAGAACAAAAGTCCCCCATGTTTCAGAGATGATAGAAGGCAAAACAAGTTTCAATCTGTTAGCTAAGACTTTGAACGTTAGTTTATATTGAATATTGTATAAATTAATCATCCTAAATTGAGACAGAGACTTTAGGTTGAGAATTATTTTTTGGGTAGGTATTGAACCAAAAAATTATTCACTAGAAGAACGTTATTTGTAAAAAATCTCCTTAGAACAAAAGTCTCCTATGTTTCGAAGATGATAGAAGGCAAAACAAGTTTCAATCTATTAGTTAAGACTTTGGATGTTAGTTTATATTAAACATTGCGTGAACTAATTGGTCTAAACTTAGACATAGACTCTAGATTGATACCTTAAAGATTTTGATCAAACACTTGGGCAATGGAATATCCCAATCTTCCTTTCCTGTTCATAAGCTTTATGTCATGAATTGATGGAGACATTATATAGAAAGTCACTTTGTTTTATTTATTCTTTCCATATTTACGAATTCGTGATGAATCTCTATAAGATATGATGAGCCTGAATTTGACTGGGTCAAGCCCAATTTAAATAAACCAAGAAAGCCCAATTGGAGCTGAGTCGACCCGTCATGAGCGAATCCAAAAAGACATCAAGAGGTCAATGCCCAAGGAGCCAACGCCCAAAGCACTTGGGGCACTGCTGAGGGGGTCACCCAAGCCAAGCGCCGCCCAAGGTTGCCCCTGGTCCTCCTACATCTTCTTCACTCCAATGCAAGTTCAGTCCACTCCAACTCAACGTCCAGGCTCAAGATCAAGCCCAATCCAACTCAGGGTCTTCTTCTGATTGAATAGGAGCACGAGGGAGAGAATGTCGGAATGGAGATCTAAACATACCATGATTACTCACTTACCAAAATGGTGGAAAGACCTCTCACTCACTTCACCGCCTCACCGCCTTACCCTAACTATATAATGTACGTCCACTCAACATTAAGGACACACTTCTAAAACCCCTACACGCCTCTTTACGCACCTTGCTCCCCTCTCCCAAAGCATTGTAACTCCCTCGGAGAACACTCTCCTGGCAACTTGGGTTCATCAATAAAACACCTCCGGCCACTGCAGCCATTCCCGAGAGTGGAGTAAGTTGCCCGGACCGAATTACTATAATTCTTTGTGTTAATCACGTATTTACCGCTTTAGCTCTTGATTATCATTAATTTCTTTACTTATTGCTTATTGATTGCCCCTGTTCACATTCTTGATTGTTGATTTTGCACAATACCGATTTGAGCACCATCAAGATAGATCATGTTAAACCATTTTTATAGAATAAATTGCTGAAATATACACTTACTCACTAAACACATAGATCGATTAAATCTATGAGTTACCAATGAGAATTGAACACAGAATATCCATACTTATATAACTTCCTAATCATCAATTTGCAAAAAATATTATCAAATTTGACGTTGTAATTGATATTAATCAAAATTAATAGACTAAAGTTTCGAAACACAGATGATCTGGGTTGTGCACAGTGTAGGTACCCAAACAAAGACACTGATAAAGAGTGACCTGGGCCAGAGACACATCGGACCATGGATCCCTCGAGTAAAAATGGACCAAGGACTCAGTCCAGTCCAAGAGTTAGCCATGGGTCAAATAATGTGACCCATTTACTAAATTTGTTAGTAGGGCTTAATCCCCATCACCAGCCTTACATAGAACGACCCATTACTTTTTTTTTTTTGGTTCAAGAGTTGGTCAGGGTGTCTGGATTAGTTTACGCACACCTCAACAATCCCTTCCCTAATCTAATTAAAGACAAGTCACCCACGCAAAAATTAGGGTATTCATGAGACTTAAATCTCTCATGACTTGACCCCAAGAGATTGTCAAGATTTAAACTCAAAACGTCTGGATTTATAACTCGTCCATATTATCACTTGAACTGACAATCACATATATCCTGCCTAGAAAGAAGTAATAAATAACATTTTTTAAGAAATATAATATTTAGACCTAATTATCTAAAACCATTGAAAAAAAAAAAGGCGCTTCATTTTAAACTTTACAATTAATTCAATAACTTTATTTAATTAGGTCCCAAATTATATTCGTGTAGCATTGCTTTTATTTGTGCATATTGCCTCTATGTTATTAAAAAGATAAAAATATTATTTTGTTTTCATTCAGGCTTGTGGCCATGGGCCAAGTGCAGACCATACAGTCCAAACATGGGAAATTCGGGGACAGAGTATGTTGGGATTAGGTCTCACTACCGAGCAAGTTTGAATCGATGAATTTGAATTTAAATTCGATTTTAGAAGGTTGATTTGAATCCGATCTAATAATTTAGCGGCTTTTATTTTCGTAGTTCATATCCGAATCCGTTAATAATTCTAAAATTCAATATAATCCGAATAACTTAATTTACTAAATTTCTTTAAATAATCACATAATTTTTTTAATATTTATATAAAAATATATAAATAATTCAAATCAAATCATAATCAGATTGGATATATGTATATCTAAATCTGAATCCGTAAAATATAAAATTTCATAGTCAAATTCGGGTTCGAATTATCAATAAAAATTATAAATTCATATCCGACTAATCGGATTCTGATCAAAATCCAATCCATTGACAAATCTAATTGGGATATAGGGGTATTTTAAATTTGTTATTTGATCCTCTTACAATAAGTAATATTTATATTTGGCACCCACACTTTCGAATTTTTTACTCCCATCCCTTTGAAATACCAATGAACTTCCTGAACATGATGAGAATGGCCATGGGTACACCCTCTCTACATTTTGCACACAGTGAAAAACTATGCGTTAAAATTAATCAATTTTCAAATAATGAGATCTGGTCTCACAAATAAATGAAGAGGAAATAGAAAAATCAAGAAATTAATTATAAATATCTTTCAACCATTACATACAATGATTTAAATAACTGGCATGTTTTACATCCAAAATTGGACTAAGAGAATTTCATCACAAAAGAGTTCGGCCTAATGAAGTACAACAGCAACAAGCAAAATACAAAAGCAAGAGCTAAACAAGCTCAATGTATGCCATAGGTGCATTGTCCCCTCGCCTTGGTAGGGTTCTGATAATTCTCGTATATCCTCCATTCCTCTCCCCATATCTCTCTGGGACCTCTGCAAACAATGCATGGACAATCTGCTTTTCATAAATGAAACCGAGGGCTTGCCTCCTTTTATGAAGAGTTCCATCTTTAGCCAATGTGATCATCTTATCCACATACTTCCTCATGGCACTAGCCCTTGCTCTCGTAGTTTTGATGCGTCCATGCTTTAATAGCTGAGTTGTGAGGCCACGCAAAAGGGCCCGACGCTGATCAGGGGGCCGATTGAGTTTTGGTACCCGCTTGCCATGTCTCATGGCAAAGAATCGGCCTCCATTGTCAATGATGGTGAAACCATGCTCGTAACTGGTGAGATCTGCAACAATTTGGATTTTTGGATTACATGTTGAACAGTTCAGCGAGCCTCAAGGACAAAGAAAAGTCATGAATTAGGGTGCAATATGCAAAAATGGGAAAGAAAAACTGTAACCCTTGCCATTGATTTGTTGTGAAGTAATCCCTTTGGAATATACTTGTAACGTTTGTAAATTTTGTTTCCACTGGATTTCTGGAAGTCTAAACCATTCTTCTTTTGATTATAAGATGCCAAAAATCACATCCACAGTCACATTATCATGCAAATGATCCCAAAACCTACCAAGGAATGCCTGTTCAGTATAAAAAATTTTCTAAAATCCCCAGTCAGCTCCTGCAAATGCAAGACACAACAGAAAAACATGTTTGGAAGCAACCTCTAGGTCACTACCTCACATAACACAATCCCTGAACAATCAAACTTCAATCAACTTTTAGCTAGAACACGATCATTCAACAGAGAGGCTAAGCAGTTAACTTCTAAAGCCACGACAAGAGCTCGACCATTGGACTGAGGTACAAGTCTTTCTGTGCAAAAGAGTTCCACTCTAGAGGGATTGGATTTTTTTGTATGATTTGAATAAGTTCAAACAATCCAAACTACCCTGATTATAGAGCTATTCTTCAAAACTAGGAGAACCCTAAAACAATCCCAATATATAAAAGAAAACACCACTTCTGCTGATTCTAACATGAACTGCTCTCTCCGACTCGCATCCATTTTTGGATCATGACTGAAATATCCCCACTTCTATTCCAAATCAACCCCTGTTGTTTTCTATAATCTTAATTTTTTTAAATGCCCAATTTACCAGTATTCACAATAAATGCAAGAAGCAATAAAGAACACAGGGACTGACCAGGTGCCCACTACATCTTTAGTCCTTACCTCACCATACCCTCAAACCAATTCAACTCAATGGAGGGTGATTTAACAAATTTGGGTATGAATTACACATACATATATAGATGCATATATTTCAACAGATTAACATAAGTGGCACAAGAGATTAGCAGCTGGCTGAATGGCCACCAACCCCGCGCTATTGGACCCAGGTTTGAACCTTGTCGTCCCTAACCAAAAAAAAAAACATAAGTAGCAAAAGATTCAGGACCAGTATTTGCCCAGTTAACAATGAAAAGCACAAAACCAACAACTATTGGAGCTATCATAACAAACAAATTGTAAGGAGACCAAGTTCTATGTGCCCTCCATGCAGTATAATCTTGATTATTCTTGAATCCATAAATTATNAGAGACACATCGGACCATGGATCCCTCGAGTAAAAATGGACCAAGGACTCAGTCCAGTCCAAGAGTTAGCCATGGGTCAAATAATGTGACCCATTTACTAAATTTGTTAGTAGGGCTTAATCCCCATCACCAGCCTTACATAGAACGACCCATTACTTTTTTTTTTTTGGTTCAAGAGTTGGTCAGGGTGTCTGGATTAGTTTACGCACACCTCAACAATCCCTTCCCTAATCTAATTAAAGACAAGTCACCCACGCAAAAATTAGGGTATTCATGAGACTTAAATCTCTCATGACTTGACCCCAAGAGATTGTCAAGATTTAAACTCAAAACGTCTGGATTTATAACTCGTCCATATTATCACTTGAACTGACAATCACATATATCCTGCCTAGAAAGAAGTAATAAATAACATTTTTTAAGAAATATAATATTTAGACCTAATTATCTAAAACCATTGAAAAAAAAAAGGCGCTTCATTTTAAACTTTACAATTAATTCAATAACTTTATTTAATTAGGTCCCAAATTAAATTCGTGTAGCATTGCTTTTATTTGTGCATATTGCCTCTATGTTATTAAAAAGATAAAAATATTATTTTGTTTTCATTCAGGCTTGTGGCCATGGGCCAAGTGCAGACCATACAGTCCAAACATGGGAAATTCGGGGACAGAGTATGTTGGGATTAGGTCTCACTACCGAGCAAGTTTGAATCGATGAATTTGAATTTAAATTCGATTTTAGAAGGTTGATTTGAATCCGATCTAATAATTTAGCGGCTTTTATTTTCGTAGTTCATATCCGAATCCGTTAATAATTCTAAAATTCAATATAATCCGAATAACTTAATTTACTAAATTTCTTTAAATAATCACATAATTTTTTTAATATTTATATAAAAATATATAAATAATTCAAATCAAATCATAATCAGATTGGATATATGTATATCTAAATCTGAATCCGTAAAATATAAAATTTCATAGTCAAATTCGGGTTCGAATTATCAATAAAAATTATAAATTCATATCCGACTAATCGGATTCTGATCAAAATCCAATCCATTGACAAATCTAATTGGGATATAGGGGTATTTTAAATTTGTTATTTGATCCTCTTACAATAAGTAATATTTATATTTGGCACCCACACTTTCGAATTTTTTACTCCCATCCCTTTGAAATACCAATGAACTTCCTGAACATGATGAGAATGGCCATGGGTACACCCTCTCTACATTTTGCACACAGTGAAAAACTATGCGTTAAAATTAATCAATTTTCAAATAATGAGATCTGGTCTCACAAATAAATGAAGAGGAAATAGAAAAATCAAGAAATTAATTATAAATATCTTTCAACCATTACATACAATGATTTAAATAACTGGCATGTTTTACATCCAAAATTGGACTAAGAGAATTTCATCACAAAAGAGTTCGGCCTAATGAAGTACAACAGCAACAAGCAAAATACAAAAGCAATAGCTAAACAAGCTCAATGTATGCCATAGGTGCATTGTCCCCTCGCCTTGGTAGGGTTCTGATAATTCTCGTATATCCTCCATTCCTCTCCCCATATCTCTCTGGGACCTCTGCAAACAATGCATGGACAATCTGCTTTTCATAAATGAAACCGAGGGCTTGCCTCCTTTTATGAAGAGTTCCATCTTTAGCCAATGTGATCATCTTATCCACATACTTCCTCATGGCACTAGCCCTTGCTCTCGTAGTTTTGATGCGTCCATGCTTTAATAGCTGAGTTGTGAGGCCACGCAAAAGGGCCCGACGCTGATCAGGGGGCCGATTGAGTTTTGGTACCCGCTTGCCATGTCTCATGGCAAAGAATCGGCCTCCATTGTCAATGATGGTGAAACCATGCTCGTAACTGGTGAGATCTGCAACAATTTGGATTTTTGGATTACATGTTGAACAGTTCAGCGAGCCTCAAGGACAAAGAAAAGTCATGAATTAGGGTGCAATATGCAAAAATGGGAAAGAAAAACTGTAACCCTTGCCATTGATTTGTTGTGAAGTAATCCCTTTGGAATATACTTGTAACGTTTGTAAATTTTGTTTCCACTGGATTTCTGGAAGTCTAAACCATTCTTCTTTTGATTATAAGATGCCAAAAATCACATCCACAGTCACATTATCATGCAAATGATCCCAAAACCTACCAAGGAATGCCTGTTCAGTATAAAAAATTTTCTAAAATCCCCAGTCAGCTCCTGCAAATGCAAGACACAACAGAAAAACATGTTTGGAAGCAACCTCTAGGTCACTACCTCACATAACACAATCCCTGAACAATCAAACTTCAATCAACTTTTAGCTAGAACACGATCATTCAACAGAGAGGCTAAGCAGTTAACTTCTAAAGCCACGACAAGAGCTCGACCATTGGACTGAGGTACAAGTCTTTCTGTGCAAAAGAGTTCCACTCTAGAGGGATTGGATTTTTTTGTATGATTTGAATAAGTTCAAACAATCCAAACTACCCTGATTATAGAGCTATTCTTCAAAACTAGGAGAACCCTAAAACAATCCCAATATATAAAAGAAAACACCACTTCTGCTGATTCTAACATGAACTGCTCTCTCCGACTCGCATCCATTTTTGGATCATGACTGAAATATCCCCACTTCTATTCCAAATCAACCCCTGTTGTTTTCTATAATCTTAATTTTTTTAAATGCCCAATTTACCAGTATTCACAATAAATGCAAGAAGCAATAAAGAACACAGGGACTGACCAGGTGCCCACTACATCTTTAGTCCTTACCTCACCATACCCTCAAACCAATTCAACTCAATGGAGGGTGATTTAACAAATTTGGGTATGAATTACACATACATATATAGATGCATATATTTCAACAGATTAACATAAGTGGCACAAGAGATTAGCAGCTGGCTGAATGGCCACCAACCCCGCGCTATTGGACCCAGGTTTGAACCTTGTCGTCCCTAACCAAAAAAAAAAACATAAGTAGCAAAAGATTCAGGACCAGTATTTGCCCAGTTAACAATGAAAAGCACAAAACCAACAACTATTGGAGCTATCATAACAAACAAATTGTAAGGAGACCAAGTTCTATGTGCCCTCCATGCAGTATAATCTTGATTATTCTTGAATCCATAAATTAACTCCAATGCTTTTGCGCATAACCCCTGTATTAATCATAATTCAATGTTGTTGAATTCCCACTTTGTCGCAAAAAGCAACGAAAACCCAGAATTACAAGCACCCAATAGGTCGCTGCCTCACAGACCCTTAAAACAATTACAGTCACTGAAGTGCCATTTTTACAAAAAAAATTCTGAAATTGCATTTAGAAAAGGAAAAAAGACGCGATACACATCACCAATATTAAANAAAACAATTACAGTCACTGAAGTGCCATTTTCACAAAAAAACTTCTGAAATTGCATTTAGAAAAGGAAAAAAGACGCGATACACATCACCAATATTAAANAGGCGCTTCATTTTAAACTTTACAATTAATTCAATAACTTTATTTAATTAGGTCCCAAATTATATTCGTGTAGCATTGCTTTTATTTGTGCATATTGCCTCTATGTTATTAAAAAGATAAAAATATTATTTTGTTTTCATTCAGGCTTGTGGCCNAAGAACATGATAATACTGCAAGAAGTTATGAATGTGTCTGTCTATGTATACGTATATTTACACATCATATAACGAAGAGACAAGAAAGAAAATAAGTTACGAGAACGTACCTTGAGAAGTGATGGAGAGAAGGGAGTGAAGAGGGGCGAGACCAACGAAAGAGTGGAGAGGCATAGGATTGGGTTTGGGCCGAGAGGGTCTGAGGCAAGACGAAGAAGAAGATGGAAAGGCTAAGCCGGCTGACAAGTGGATTGAAAGGGTCGGAGGGGTGTGGACGGAAGGGAGAGCCGATCTCAGAGATAACATGCTCCAAGTGCAAGCACACGCCATTTTGCTACTGCCAAAGGATTCGATTTGCCTCTGCTCTTCTTTCTCTCTCTTCTATGGCCGCTGGAGCAGGAATATAGAATATGGATGGATAATTACAGATTGACCCCCATTAAATCTGTTTATTCTCTTCAGGGCCTCAACAAGCCTGTGTTTTTCTATTTTAGCGCTTTGTTATTTTGTCCTAGGCTTCTATGTGAATATAGGAACTCATAGAGGGCTGATTACCACCTAATCTTTCAAATTAGATACTTATAACCAGTGGAGATATCAGCACAATTGAAAATGCTAATCAAGATTTTGTGGATGGTTATGAATTTGGCCTCTAACTAGACACCAAGTTGTTGAAAAGAGCTCAAAGACCAAGCTCTTGGATCTGATATAAAAAATAGATTACACAAATATAGATTTTTCGAAAAACTTGTTGATCTACTTCGTTTGATGGGTATGAAAGAGGTTTAGGTTTAGGTTTAGGATTTTTGGTAGGAGTGTTCAAAAACTCCGCCAGTGTTGTATGCAACACAACCTGTCCCAAGCCAGAATAAAGGAGGAAGATTACGTTAGGTAACCGACAGTCAGTGTAAAACTTTGTCGGATCCAATATGATGAGTTCAAACAATGATATATGCTCTAATGTTAGATCGTTCCCCATAAGTGATGTGTTGCACTTGCCTTGGGGCGTTTCGAAAAATTAATTAGGGGCGTTGCGTCTGTCTCAAGGCATTTTGACAAATAAGTTAGAGGTGCCACATCAGCGCCCGGGTGCGATGATAAATGAGCAAAGGTCTCCTCGCCATGGAAGACTAGATTAGCAACATGGAATATACGTACACTCACTAATAAAAGAATGGAATTAGTAGGCACTATGAGCAGGAGAAAAATTAGTATAGTATGCTTACAAAAAACTACATAGTTAGGTGAGAAGGCAAAGGAGATAGAAAATACAAGATTTAAGATTTATTATACAAGTAATGATAGACAAAGAAATTGTAGGAAATTTGTAGAACAGACTTGATAAATTTGATGAATGAAAAACTAGCCTTTGATAGTTAAAAACTCTCTTTGATATGAAAGCAGTAGAGTTGAGATATCCTCTCAATGTGTTTTCTTTCAAATTGGGTGTTTTCTTTTGTGTTCTCTCAGTATCCAGAGAACCTTATTCATAGTGGAGAATATATCAGCTAGTCGTTACCACTCACCATAATATCATCAACTCCACTAATATTTTCTCAACTTCACCAATATGTCCCCAATCTATACCGCCAAAGAAGGCTAAAAATACTCCAAGTAGGATTGTCTAGTCTTTCACTACTTGATGGGTCCCTCTATAATAATTTCACAAAAAATGTATCTATGATATATGTCAAGAATAATGTAATATTTAATCAACGGATTGGAGTTTTATATATTCTGAATTTTACCACCAACCGTGACTTAATTAATATCGAGGGATTTTAGCCACATATTTCAACATCTCCCACTTGACTACAAGTTCGAGTTTTTTTTTTTTAATTTTTTTGGGGAGGGGAAGGGGAGTTTGAACCCTTGACCTCAAGAAGATAAAGTCTTCACAAGGCAAAGAGTACAATTGAACCAAAGGCCCATTGGTAGCTCGAGATGTTCATTCATAATTTAAACCCATAGTAATGATATGTCGTTTAAATTATTCGATTCTAATAGGTTTTGTCAAAAGGTCTGCAACCATATATTTTGTACAAAGATAATCAATAGTAACTTGCTCTTTTTGTATTATATCACTTTATAAGTGATTTGGTAACTCAATATGCTTACCTTTGGGCCTGATTTTTCTATTTTTAATAGTTTTTATAACAACCTCATTATCACAAAAAATACGAATATGCATATTATTTACACAAGTAAGTTTTATATCAGTTAGAAATCATTTTAACCATATGGTCTCACAGACAATCATACTACAAGCAACATATTCAGCTCCATAATATTTTTAGCTATGCAACATTACTTTTTACTAGACCATGAAATAGCACCACAACCTAAAATAAATATATAATTTGTGGTGAATTTTCTATCATCAATATCACCAGTAAAATCAGCATCACAATAACCATTAACATTTATGTCATCAACTTGATATGTTAATGAAAAATCTAATGTACCTTGTATATATCGAAGTACATGTTTCAGAACTAACCAATAAGGTATACTCGGATTACTTTAATATCGACCAATCAAACCAACAACATAGTTAAGATTCGGTCTAGTGCATAATATAGCACATCTGAGATTACCAACATAATATGGTTCAAAATCTTTCGTGTAAGGTTTTGATTTCATTTATTGTATTTCTTCTTCAGTATTATGAACCATAATTTTAGACAATTTTGCTCCTTTGTAAATTCAATAGGTTTACAAGAATCCATTTTGAATTTCTTTAAAATATTTTTCAAATAAGATTTTTGAGATAAACTAAATTTTCTTTGCTTTCTATCTCTAGAAACTTTAATTTAAAATATATAATGTGCTTCATCCATATCTTTGTTTAACCAATATTTTAATTCAAAGATTATATTTATATCATATTCGGCAAGTAAAATGTCATCCACATATAAGGAAAGAATAATATAATAACTCCCACTATATACAATGATCATAATTATTTAGAACAAAACCATAAACTATAAATGCATTATGAAAAGTATGATAACATTGTTGTAGAATACAGTGTGTTAAAATAATTCCCAGTAGTAGAAAAGCAATGAATAATCAAAAAAGATAGGTCGCTAGACAAGGCGTGGCTGTCACTATTTTTGAGATAGTAATTTTTTCACATATAATGTAGATGGACTCTTGGAAATTCTACCCCCAAGATATAATGTCTAACTTTAAGATTATCAAAAACTGCACTCCTTAGTAATCTTGGAATCAAAACTCAATCCGAATAGAAAATAAGAAAATATAGAAGCTTTCATTACAAAAAAAAAAAAGTAGAAGCATTAAATTGTTGATATTTTGTTCTTGCACTTGAACTTTATTTATAGTGTTTTATGCATCTCTTAATGAAGGAGTGTGGCCCTTCAAATCCATGGCAGAAGACACCCCTTGAAGGGCTGCAATAATATAGCCATTAGAGACTAATTTCAAATAGAATATTTGTCATGTTCGAATGAGATTTTCACGAACGTACTTAACTCTCAGTAACTTGATTCTGAGATTTCTGCCAAAGTACTGAGAGTAAGTCACGTTCGAATGAACTGAAGTCCCAGTATCTCAGTTGCTGACAGAAATGGAGATTCTGAAATAGTACTGGGAGCAAAGCACGTTCGAAGCGTTGTTTTAGCGTTCGAATGTCGTCTCCCTCCTTTTATTTCTTCTTCTTTATATATATATATATATATATATATATATATATATATATATAT